AGATAAAAGGGAGAAAAGAAAGATAAATTTTTTAAATTTAAAAAATCAAAAGAGAACATTTTCTCCTTCTAAAAATAAGAGAGGGTGAACCCATTCCAAACCCACTCACTCCTTGGTATATGGCAAAGATTCTTTGGTGTGGATACAAAATTTAGTAGGGCTCAAAAAGAAAAGGAACCCCAATACCACACTGCCAAATGTTGCCATGGTGGCTACAATGCTTGGTAACTACCATGGGAAGACCTATAAGAAACCACTCAATAACAGTAGGGAGAAACATCTCCATAGCAATGATCACTTGTGATAATTTGAGGCTTCCTTTCTTCCAGATAGAAACCCCTTCAGAGAAGCCTGGTCAGGAAAGCCTGAGCAGACAGCACCCACCGTAAGTGCTCTGTAAATGGGTTACCAGACAGAACTGCCATGATGTCATGCCTGGTTTTAGCAACTTTGACAAGGTTGAGAGAGAGAACCTTCTACCCTACTCCCTTCCCACAGGCCGCTGAAGCAGATAGTGAATTTCCAAATCCTGTCGGTCCTGACTTTGCCATGCCCAACTCTCCAGCCCATGCTTTTATGTATCTACATGTCTCTGTAACATTTTTATGATTACAAATGTTACATGGAAATTTTAGAAAACATTGAGAAAAAAAATCATCCATATTCCCAGAAGCTAGTGATAAGTAGTATTTTGATGGGGTTTTTTCCCAGTGGGTTTTCAAAAGACCCATCCACTTAAATCTTAACCCCTAATGCACTGCTCTCTTTCTAAGCCCTTTGCTCCAAGACCACCTCGTTGGAGGGCCCCAAAGGCCCTGGAGGAAGATTCTGCATTTGGGATGTTCACAGCCAGCTGCAGGGTCTTGGTGGGGCTCTGGGAGCTCTCCCACAGGGAAGCATCCTCCCTGCTGGCTGACACCTGCCTAGAAACTGAGTCACTGACAATCGTATCATCAAGGGGCAGGCCCCATTACACAAGACAGGGCTGGAGCAAGGCCCCGCCTTCCTCTCTCAGTATGGGCCTAACGCCCTCCAGGCTCTCCAAGGCAAGTGTGCTTCCTGTGCCTCGAGGATGTCCTTGGTGTAGAGGGATCTCTAGCCACCCTGGTACAACCCGCGGCTCCCCCTCCCAGAGATCCCAGGGTAACCCCCACCCCACCTCTCCGTGGAGACCCCTGTGTGCCCCAGAGCCCCGGTGAGGAGAAACTCTTGGTCCCCAGGATCCGACAGACCGAGTCTTCCATTCCAGGATGGAAATCCCTCAGACCCAGGCTCCCTCTTCTGCAGACCGTGCACACTGGGCCCTGTGTCCTGGGGGGTTCTGTGACCACGCCTGTGAGCACAGGAGTCTGGAGAGCCCGGGTCTCTCAGCTCAGTGCGTGCAGGCCCCGGGACCCGGAGCACCCCGAGCGCTCCCCACGGCTTCTCCACGAGCGCACCGAGTCCTCAATTCCAGGAACCCAGAGCTCCGGGCCGCCGCATCCTGCGGTCTCAGTGTGCGCGGGTCCAGGGGACCCCGGAGGCCCAGGCCTCCCCGCCCAGGGGTCTCTCGGCGCATGAGGTCCTGGGGCTCAGGCCCCGCTGTCTCGGGGTCGCTGTGCGCGCAGGGACGGCGGGCCCGGGAACCCCAGGACCCCGGCGCGGACCCCAGGCTCTGCTCCCCTCTCTCCTCACCATGGCGCCCGCGGACTGGCCCGGCCGCGCCCCGCAGCCTGACGCGCCCTCCCAGCGGAGGCTGCGCCGTCTCCCGGCAACCGCTGGGCGATCCCGCACGAAGTCTCGGGGGTCCTCGCGATACTCCGCCCGCCGCCATGGGCCCTGGAAACGACGGAAGTGCGTCCCTAGCAACGCACGTCGGGAAGATCTCGCCGGCAGCCCGGACTCGGTGAGACGCTGATCTCCCGACGTCCCTTAGAATTCCGTTGCAGGGTGTGTTTCCTTTATCGCCGGTTCCCCCGCTGGAACCTCAGCTCCACGAAGGGGGAGAACTGTTCCGTTCACCTCCGTACTGCAGCGCCTGGAACAACGCACACGCGAGCTCAATAAAGAAGTGCGGAACGGCTGAATAAGGGAGAGAACGCAGGAGTGAATTACTGAATGAATGATCGATCCGCCACCCAACGCTCCGACACGTTATCCGAATTAGATTCAAACTGGGGCTGAGACTCAGCCCCCGGGACTCACCCCACCCTGCCCAGCTTTGCAGAACCCGCCCACCTGCTGCCCCGGTGAGGACTGAGGATGATTGGGTTTACACAAACCCGGAGAAAAAAAACAAAAATAGGAAAGAAAAATATGTTCCAGATTAGCTACAAAACTCTGAAATCAGCAGTGTTGCCTTCGCAAAAACAAACTGCTCTACCTGAAGAGGCCTCCTCTGTGCCCCGGGACTCACCCCACCCTGCCCAGCTTTGCAGAACCCGCCCACCTGCTGCCCCGGTGAGGACTGAGGATGATTGGGTTTACACAAACCCGGA